AAAATGCTTTTTTAAAACAATATTTAATGTAATTTTAAGCACAAGAAAGAGGTAATGCCATTCTTCAAAGTTATTTGGAATTACCCTTCATTAAGTTCTCGTAATCCTTACTCCTAAGTTATACCTTGATCATCAATGAGGAACATCGTATATAAACATGGATAAACTCTTTTCTGGGTTAGCCTTTTCAGTACTATGGATTTTTATTTCACCTTATACAGAACTATTACTGTTTTGGTGTGGTAGTCAAAGAGGGGTGAAATTTTTCATATTCATTGGATCCATTTTGTCTAAAGGGTGTATTCTGTTAAATAAACTTAAATTAATAAACTTAAGTTATGAAAGGTAGTTTTATAATTTAGAGTGATGTTTTATTTTTCCAGAGTTGCGGATTTATTGTACCGCATTGGTTACTCAGTTTTTATTCGTCAGTTTTTTTATTCACTGTAACAGCCCAATAGTTAGTGGCTGGTTTTATTTTGTGGAGCTTTCAGTTATTATTTATTTCAGTTGATATGCACCAATGTAAAAGGCCCAAGGCCTTTGATGGCTATTTAATAGTTTTTCTATATCAATGAAAGTAACACAAAAATTTACACTTGAATGAATATCTTTAGTGTGTATCACGTTTATTTTTCTACAAAGTGATATCAGAGTTTTATCCTCTGAGTAGCTAGAGGAAAAAAAAAAAGAGAAGGGAGAGTCAAACTTCGTGAGGGAAATCGTTAGTGTTTTGTGAGAGAAATGGCAAAGGTAGTCAATGGAATGAGTGTGCCACAATTGTCGGAAAAAATCAATTACGATAATTGGTGTCTGCAGATAAAGGTTCTTCTTGGATCTCAAGATTTATGGGATACAGTGGAGGACAGATACAATGAACCTGTGGACAATAACCCAGATTGATGTATTGAAAAAGACACGAGTGAAAGACAGATCGGCTTTGTACTTTCTATTCAATGCACTGGATGAATCGGGGTTTGAGCAAAAGAAGCCTGGAAAATTTTGGAGGCTCACGTGAAGCAGGTCCGAGTACAAGCTCTGATAAGAGAGTTTGAACATATGGAGATGGATGAAAAGGAAAGAGTTGTTGAGTTTATAGCTCGAGCAGGATGAATGGAGAAGAGATGCCTCCTAACCGGGTTTCGGAAAAGATCTTAAAAAATCTTACCAATGATTATGAAAGTATCATGGTCGCTATTAAAGACACACATGATCTATCAACTCTCATGCTAGATGAGTTAGTTGGGTTATTAAAGGCCCACGAACTGAGCAAGAAAAAGAAGAGGAAGGAACTCGATGATCAAGCACTACATGCACAGTTTGACTCAAATGGAGCTCGAAATACTCAGAGTCGAAGTCTTGGAGGTAGAGGACGAGTAGGCCGAGGACGAGGTGGAAGTAGTGCTGCAAACGAATGCAGATCGAAGAAGTGCTGCAAATATGGTAAACCTGGTCACATTGCTACTAACTAACGAGAATCCCCCGTGGACAATATTGACCAACATGAGGCGACCCAAGCAGAAGAAGCTATGGAGCAGGACAGAGAGTATGTCCTGGTATCTCCACCGTCAAATGAAGCTGTGCAGAAGGGCCTAAACATTATGAGCCGTGAGATAGAAGTACTTAGGGGACTTATATCAGCATTAACGAATGAGAACACAGACATTAAGCAAAGAATAGCAAAGCTGGATAAAACTTTAGCCGAACATATGGCTAAGAAGAATTGCAGTGATATGCAGGCAAAGGATGTAATGAACAAGACCATATTGGATGCTGCAAAGGGACCAAAGCCACGGTCAGCACTGAGTCGGGAATCTGCACAAGCATTTATGGACAGAATCAATAGGAACTTGGGCCTCCTGCCACCTTTAGGACGTGGTGTTGCTAGCTCATATAAAGCCTCATCTTCCATGTCCTCAGTCCTAGACTGGCTTAACAAGCCTATTATATCAGAATATGAAGCTGGTATTATGTTGGAGAAAGTGAAGGAAGCAATGAAGACCAAAGGTGTGTCACTTCCTGTTCAGCTGACCCCAGCTGCACTGAGAACTGAGCATTGCAGGTCCATGATTCTAGAGAAGCTTTCTTGATCTAGGTTTATTTGGCTATAAGAGAACACGGAAATGGTTAACCGGAGCTCGGATGATAATACCAGATATCCGGAAATCACATATGGGATGCAGAATGAAGATCGGATGACCATACCAGATGTCTAAAGGGTGTATTATGTT